ACTCTGCTGTTGGCCAAGTATTTTTAGAAGCTAGTAAGGACCAGTCTCATGAATAAACCTTTGCTCCTTCATGTAAAGAACTACAGTAAATTGATTGTGTCATTAACGTGGTGTCAGCTCTTGGGAACACACGTATAGAGATAAAGGATAAAATAGTGAATACTGAATAGGAACAACTGAGAAAATTATTGAAAACTAATGATATTTCTCTGGAAAATGAAAATACAACTTAATCAGAAAATCACTTGTTAATATTAAATTAAGGTTATATAAATATTCATTTTTACAATAAACGTATGTTACCGTACTTCCAAAGCAGGTGCTCAAAAGAAGTTAACACATTTAGTTGCTGTAAGAACTTATCCAAAGTCCTTTGAACATCTTAATGAATAAAATGTTTTGAAGCGCCATTCTGTATCTGATTACTCAGATAAAAAACCTTCTGAATTCAGCAGGGTTCACTCTGTGTGTCTGTTGCATAATAAACTCTGCTAAAATTAATGGGATTTAGCATATACATGCTTGCACTATAATTTTGCCTTTTAAATCCAAGGTACTTGTAATTCTGTAACTTGCCTGACACACATTGAATTAAAATGTTTAACTAAGTGATGTTTTTAAAATTATAGAAACCCAACAGAATAATTTCCTATTGGAAGCACTGCCAGTTTTAAATGCTATAAAATGAGGGGGGGGGAGGAGTCTACAGCAATGTGTGGACTTTAATTCTCAGAATTCTGTTAAAAATTGCCAAAGCTGAGAAACAATAGTTTACAGAGTAAATTTAGGATTCCTTTTCAGTATTCTATTTTTTTAATGATATGGATTTTTATTTTTACTGTTTTTTATTCCATGTGTTTTCCAACTCCTTTTTTTTGGGGGGGGGGGGGGTGGAATGTTAAATGCAGCAGCAGGAAAGGAAATATTTTATCAATACTTCCATAATTCCAGGCTATGCAAATTTAATTGGATCAATCAATTCTTGAGTTCCAGGCGCGTATTTCCTTCCTATAAAATCAGTCTGTTCAGCACATACTGCCTCAAGCATTACCTGTCTATGGATCATATCAATATTTAAAAAATGAAATTGGCATGGGATAACTCTCCTTGGGTTATCTCAGAATACCATTCTGGAAGGATTTCTTTGATGTTCCAGGGAACAGACCTTTTTGTACTTTTCAGGGTCAGACCGATTTCATTCCCATTTCTTCACATGGCTAATATGCAGTTCGACTTCCTTCGTAATGGAGGTCAGAGCCATTCAGCAAAGGGACATCATTCTCTACAGAAGGATTTAATCTGAAGGAGCTCACACAAATCATATTCACCCTGGAATCAGGCCCCAGAACAGCCTACTTATAATACTGGAGAAAGGAGACTGCATTTATTTATTATCGAAATAAGCTGCCCCTGTGAGGCAAGGTACCAATTTTGAAAACATAGTCAAGAATATATGCAGTCAAGCGATCCCCACTCTCGCGGTAGAGTGGGTTAACACAATATAGTTGGCAAAACACCACAGGGCCCTTCACAATATAACCATTCGCCCCGCTGGGCTCTAAAATTGGAGATAAAGCATTTTGAAGAGGCAGAAAGAGCAATAAAGCATAAAACTAAAGCATCTTGGGGAGACAAGACTAGGAGAGAACACAAAATATTGCTACCAAAATCTAAAGGTCACACCATTTTCCTGGGTCAGGTGGTAATTTCAAACAATCACCTGTTATTTTTACATCTGCAGAGTATATTCCCCTAACAAAAACAGGATGGAGGAGAGATAGGGGGACGGGGTGAGGCGGCAGGAATGGTTGTTTTATGGCTATCTATAAGAACACAGATGCAAAGTGGGATTCACCTTTATTTTTCAAATTGGGGCCCACTCTTAAGTGTTTGTGACGTTTCTCTCCTCACGTGTACAGGGAATCCTTGGCTCACAACCACAACTGGGGCCAGAATTTGTGGCTAACAACACAGTTGCAAAGTGTGATATCATGTGACTGCATCACTTACTAACAGTGCCACTCCCCATTGCTGTCATTAGCTAACAATCATGGGTCATTAAGCAAGTGCCCACCCCATTCTAAGCCATTTCAGGCTTGGTTCCTCACATGGCCAAGCCTCAAGGTAAGGAGGGGACTGCCTCCTCTCCAACTTCCCCCAACCCCAACCCACATCTCCCCTTGTACCCTGCCTTGTGGGGTGACAAGCAACCCCAGAACCTTGTGGCTGTGGACTTACTTACCACATTGTTGTTGGGGGACTTCTTACATGTTGCTGTTGTTGGGCTCCAGCAAGCCCATGAGCTGCAGCATAACAGAAAGCTCTTCCCCATACAAAGCCCTTCACAGCTATTTTTGTTGACTGTTTCTTAATATGATTTGATTGCCTATGACTATTATTAAGTGTTGCTGGACAGCTCATGTTGTACCTGATGATTCTTGACGAATGTATTTTTTCTTTTATGTGCATTGAGAGTATATGCACAAAGACAAATTCCTTGTGTGTCCAATCACACTTGGCCAATAAAGAATTCGATTCTATTCTGTTCTGTTCTATTCTGATTCTATTCTGAGCCAAGCTCAGCCCTAGACCAGCAACACAAAGCAAGCAGTCACCCCAGGAACCCACAGGAAGCCCCAATCACCCCAGCCCCCTGCACTTTGAGATCCCTACTGCTTTGCACGCCACTACCCCAACTGACCTTTGCGGTGTCCTTTCTCCCACTGCTGCTAAGATTGGCCCACCTTGGCTGTTGGTGAGGCAATTGCTGGCCATGCGAGGCCATTTTCCTCAGGTTTCATAAGGAAACCACTATGCACCTGGGGAAAAAAGACTCATGCCACCTCCAATGGCCTCTCAAAGGCCAGGTCAGCATGTTCAGTCAGCAATGAAGCAAGGAAATGGCAAAGGTCAGCTAGGTTGATAGGAGCCATGGAGTGCAAGAGGGCAAAAGAGCAGGGAAAATAAGTGGGTAGGGGGAGTTGAAGCGCCTCGCCGTTGTGACAGTGGTGGGATTCAAAATGTTTTACCACTGGTTCAATGGGAGTGGCTTGGTGGGCACACTTTATGCACGTGCACACACTTTGCATGCGTGCATAAAACAGCACTTTGCACAGGCGCAGAGGTGTTCCAACTCACCTCCTGCAAGCCTGCACTCTCCCGGTCGCTTCAGCAGCTCCTGCGCAGCACTCTCCTGTGCCGCGCAAAGCAGCTGCACTTTAAAAGCAGAGGATAAAGGTGAGTATGGAAGCCCGGGCAGGTGGGCCCAACAGTAGAGTATTGGAGAGAACCAGTTCGGTCTCCACTGCTTATCACCACTATCGGCTCTGCAGAACTGGACCAAACCGGTAGAATACCACCACTGCATTGTGAGGGTGGGCTGCCAAGGGCCCAAATTTGGATCATGAGGCCACTGCAATGCCTATAACTTCTGGGGACTTGTCTTAGTCCCTTCATTCAGCATCACTGTAACTTTGAACAGTTGCTGAACTTAATGGTCATAAACTGAGGATTACCTGTACAAGTATTTATCTTCTCTCAATTTGAAGATTACAACTAGAAGGCAACTTTTGAAGAAGTTTTGCCATTCCAGGAATAGCAAACTCTTCTGGGGTCTCATTTTTACCATCCGTGGTATAAATCAGTAGAAGACTCAATATCCACAATAGCACGCTGGAGGTTCCTCATAGAAAGAATTGATCTTGGGGACCTATAAATCAGGAAGCTTACATTCTGCTTCCAGGTTGGAGATTTAGTTTGGCTGATTAGATCAAACAGTGGCTTTATTTTTTTAAAAAAAGGGTTTTCCTTTATCTAAGATAAAATTTTGAAAAATCTGGCAGCAACAATAATCAATATTTCTTGTCCTAAAGAACATGAACATATATTGATTATGAATTATTACATAATGTAAAACCTTTGTAACATCAATCAAAATATGAAATTATTACATCTGCAATTTTCATCAGTTACAGTTCAATGAAATTAGGAGTATAGAACACCAAGGAGGTTGGGACTAAAAGCTGGTCAGATTTGAAAAGCATCCTGAAAAGTATCTTACTATGGTTTATCTAATTGACTCGTTCAAATTTTCAGCCATTTTTTTGCCTTTAATACCAACTGCTTCCTTTTCTATAGTGAAACTATGATTCCAACTTACCTTTTGATCCAGTTCAGTTTTGTCTTCCATGCTACTTTAAGACATGAAATAGTTGTTCCTTTTCCTGACCTATCTAGCTTATTTGCATACTAGACTGTGATTGGTTGTAATGAACAATCTTTTGAAAGGGGGATTATATGTGTAATAATCATTGCACATCACAGTTATCACTATGATGCATATTGGATTGCTGTTTTCAGGGAAGCCGCATAAAAATGTATTCTGATTCTGACACATTAAAATGTCAGATTGAAGCATGATTCACAGATGTAATTTTGTAATAATAAATTAAAAAAGCAAAAACTTGTAATTACATGATTTGAATTAGTACTAAAACCTTGATCTTAGAGAACATTGGAGAGATTTTATTGTATCTATGCCACCATGGTTTTTGGCTGTTCTTGGCAAAATCTAAGCATTGGGGTAGGTGAAATCATGATTATTGTATAGCATGTTCTATTAATCTGATCAAAGGTGATCTATTTAATAAACTATCATTGTACAAATTATGGCTTAACATGTTTATAATACCAAAGTCCCCTGTTTTGTTCCAAGATATAAAAGCTGGATTTGCACAACATATTAATTAACCTAAATTATAAATTCCTAATTTTTGCATAAATTTATCTTATGCAAATCCAGAAAACAGCATTGGTTTATGACTCAGTTCATTCTGAAAATCCAATTTTTATTGCTTGCATGGAGAAAATTAATTTCAGCACAGTATATGATAGAAGTATTTATTAGAGTAAGATTCATGTATCCTCCATTACATGATTAATGTATTCATAATTTATTATTATTTTAACAAAGATTTAAAATATATATAAAGTATAAACAGACATCACACGAATAACACTGATCTGATAAATACAAAAAAGAATGACTCACCAATATAACTAAAAATGAGAGAACATTCTACTATTAGAGGGGAAAGGAACACTTCTATTCAATCCCAGTTCAATGAATTCCACCTTTATGGAGTATATTCTGATTTCAATTATTTTGCTGGATTGTTAAATGAGCAATGATCTGATCAAGTTACCTGGAAGAAGCAAGATTTTGTATAGAACCTTTACTCTGGCTTTTTATTCAGCAGCATCTTGAGCGAAGCTGCAGAATTGTCTATGAAGTAGTCCCATTTTTTTTGCCAAATGGCCGTGGCCTTTTTCTTCTCATCAGGCTGCATACTACTGTATCTACAAAGGAAAAAGACTCCAACATAGCAAGATGCTTTTAAAGAACCAAATGTAGGCAGCAGTCCTCCCTCTTGCTCTTCTTGCCCCTCAGAAAAGTCATAATCTTAAAACTCAACACATTTGTATTCAAATAGAAGATACTGAATAAACAGAATGTGACATGTTTTCCATTCCAATTAAGCATATTAAACCCAATTCTCATTTGCACTTAACGGTGATGCCAGCAACATTTCTTTTCGGCCCACTCATGTGAATAAGGAAAGCTGAAGTGGTCCTTAACTGTACCACTTAAAGTAGATTTCTCCCCTCAAATCTGCTAGAATCCATTTACCCATAACCTTTTTTGGGGAGATGGGCAGTCAGATGACTTTTAGAACTGGGGAAAAGATAAAGAAGCAGGACAGGGATAAATAATGAGACAACAAATGCTAGTGTTTTGTCCCTGACAAAAGAGATTGGATATTTTTTATAACTCAGCAAAAGTTCTTAATATATTAGCTGTTATGGCCTCAGAGCAAAAGGAGGAAAAAGTCATTTTGTACTGCTGTTTATAAGACCGGATCAGATTTTTGATGCTGGCGCAGGATCCAGTCGGGGTCAGACACTGGGAGCAAAGGGTTTAGTCTTCTGAGCTTTTGGACTCATGCTGGAGTCCTCAGGGAACTTTCCTCCAACAGAGTGTCTAGTGCAGGGCTGTCAAACTCCCGGCCCATGGGCCGGATGCATCATGTGCTGGCCACACCCACCCCTGGTTTAGCAAAGGGGGGAAAAGTCCCAACACATCACATGATGCCGCCGTGACGACATGAGTTTGACACCCTTAGTCTAATGTCTGCTAGAAAGACGTTCCCTGAGGATGGGCTGCAGCAGAAGTCCAAAAACTTGGAAGACTAAACTTCTCATCCTGGTGACCGACCCAGATTAGATCCCGCAACATTATCCTGGGACACGTACATATGTTCTGATGCTGGGCTTGAGACTAATGTCCAGCAGGCTTCAGGAATTGACCTAAGATCTTTTAGATGCCCTTGCTGAGTCCATTGTTTTTGCTGAACAGGTGAGTGCCAGATGGAGGCCCCAAAAGGTTAAAAAAAATTCCTTGTCTTCAAAACAAAAGGTTGGCATGTTGAGGATTCACACAAACTTTTAGGTAAATAGAATCTAGGAGGAACAGGGAGCAATGCTCCATTCATTCCCAGTCTTTAATTGGCTTCAGAGATTCAGTGAGCAGTGAGGAGCAGAAGCGGAGATGGTATCAACAGGAGAGAGAGAGAGAGAGAGAGAGAGAAGGGCAATATATGTACCATTATGCTTTAGCAGATCTAATAAAAAAATAAATCTTACTAATAAAAAAGAAATCTTACTAATTTAGTAGGACTTTTAGTAGGATTGGCACTTTCGGAAGGTGATAAGCACAATAAAAAAAAAAAAGGGGGGGATAATTTGTAGTGTTTGTAGTGTGTGAAGTTGTAAAAAAGACTCCACCTAGTTCTGTCCCAAGTACCTAAATGTTTTGGGACAGCAATGTAAAAAAAACTATTATGGCAGGATAGATGTAGTTTCATATTTGGGCTTCTTATCCAAATTTCGCTGACTCTAAATTCAATGCTGATATAAACTAAGGTGGTGTTATATGTGAAAAGTCCAGCTAGCTCTAAATGTTGTCCCTATTTGTTGCCCTGTTTGGACATAGGTTTGAACATAGAGGGGGGTGGCGTTGTCCATAAATGTCAGCATAGAAAAGACATGCACTTCAGGGGTGAAATTCAAAATTTTTCTCTACTGGCTCTTGTGGGCGTGGCTTGAGGGTGTGGCTTGGTGGGACTCAATCTCTGAAAGGAAGAAGGCGAGCAGGTATGGGCGGGGCCAATCGATTCAAATTGTACCTACCACCTCTCCCAAGGTGGTGTGAGGTGGTTGAATTTCATCCCTGATGCACTTACCTTAAAGAGTTTAGGACCAGCTGTTTCAGAGTTCTCAGATCAGCACTCATCCCTCCTATGCCCATAAACATCTCGTAGAAATCATAGGATAATCCCTTTGCTCCAAAGATGGCCGGATCATCAGAGGCAACCACTATCTGATGACCCTCTGACAACAGAAAAGCAGCAGGATGGTTTCTCAGATCCGATACTAGCTTCAGGACCTTGAAGAAGAACACATAAGCCAAGAGTTATTTTATTGAAACCTGCATTTGGTTGTGAGGCTGTTGGTACAAGGGAACATTCAGAATTCTGAGAATTTATCTAGATCTACACAAAATCATTGTCACAAGGAGGGCTTGTCTATGCACAAAAGAGCTGCTATTTGGATATTTTTATTATCAGCAATAAAAATACTTTTGTAAATGGTTGAGGTTATTCAACCAGTAGTACTGCACACCAGAACAACTAGATACAAGAACAGTTCTTTCCTGAACGCCATCACTCTGCTAAACAAATAATTCCGTCAACACTGTTCAACTATTTACAAAGTCTGCACTATTATTACTATTAATCTTCTCATCACTCCTTATCACCCATCCCCTCCCACTTGTGACTGTATGATTGTAACTTTGTCGCTTGTATCCTTATGATCTATATTGATTATTTCCTAGTATGATTTGATTGCTTATTGTATTGTAATTTGGGTCTGGTCACACAAGTGCCTTGACTTCTGACCATCATGACTTAACAATCAAAATTCGAGGCTCCATTAAGGTCCTAAGATGGAGGACTGCTTGTATCGAGCTATTTGCACATGGATTGTCTGCTAAGTAAGGTTGTCAACCAGGCTTAACTCCATATTTCCCCTAATTTCTTGTCATCCCATCTAACTTAATCCTAACATCTAGAATGTTCCTCAGTCCCCATCTTTTATCTTTCCTTTTTTTTCTGGGCTGACAGGAATATTCCCAAATAAAGCCTAGTATTTTTCATTTTCTATGGAAGCCTATGAAATCTGTAAAAAGATTGGAAACAATACATTAAGTCATCTCCCCGTTTCTTCCTATCCCAGAAGATTCTAGAGCCATGTTGGCAAACTATGCCACGTGTGCCGGAAGTGGCACGCAGAGCCATTTCCCCTGGCATGCGAGAGGTCGGCTGGAAGAGGTCCACTGCACATGTGCGCACGTGCCGCCGCCTGACATTGTCGGGTATCTGGCACGCATGTGCAGGGGGTGGAGGAGGGGGCATGGGTGATGCGTGTGCATGTGCAAGGATGCGCTGCACCCAAAGGGAGAATCGTGCATGAATGCGCAAAGACACGTGGCACATGAGGGGGGTTGTGCATGCATGCACAGGGGCGTGGGGGGGGGGACCAGCACGCATTGCCTTCTGGGTGCTGGCATGCGAATATGCACAAGCGAGTGCATGTGCAATTATCAGCACAGGAGCCAAAAAAGGTTAGCCACCACTGTTCTAGAGCAAAGCTCCTCTTCTTCTTGAACAATACCTGATTAGAAATAGGACAGACTTCTACAGCAATGTTCTGTTTCAGTGCCAACCTCCTAGCTTCTGAGTGCTTGGTGAGGGCAAAACCGTGACCAATCCGGAGGGTGTTCAATAACACAGCATCCAACAAATTGTTGTCTACTGAAGTGCCTTCCCAGTCTGAGTAATATAGAAAAAGAAGAGTTATTATATAACTTTACAAAAGGATGGCCATCAGGGCAGAAGTCTCTCAAAATTTTATTCTGAAAGGAAAAATGCTAATGCAGTGTGGAAAAGCCTTTTGGCATCCTCTGCAGAGGAGCATGAAGAATTCTCACAAGGTGTGTTTTTTTAGAATCTCAAGGACTCAAACTAAATCAATAATGGTATCATATATCTATTTTATCCATGGAGCTCAAGACTCTTCAGGAAACTCAACTAAAAAGCTAGGTTGATAGGAGCCATGGAGTGCAAGAGGGCAAAAGAGCAGGGAAAATTCAGGAAACTTCAGGAAACTCAACACATGCTCCGAGTTGTCAAATATTAAGCATTCACTTAATAAATGTTGCCAAAAAAAGTCATAAATTCAAGTCAAGTCTCAACTTATGACCATCATGACTTACTCTGAAAATTCCAGGCTCCATTAAGGTTAAAAATTGAGGATTGCTGAAATGGGCTATTTGCACATATATAGTCTGCTAAGTAAGGCTGCCAACCAGGGTTAACTCCATGTTTTCTCTATAATTTTCTGCCATCAGTTCTAATTTTTAATCCTAACATCCAGCATGTTCCTCAATCTCCATTTTTATTTTTCCAAGATAAAACTTTAGGCTTATCTTGAAGACAGGACCAAGAAGACTTCTCTTGTCTTCTTTGTCATCTTTGCTTTCTTATATCCTTCTGTATTTTGGAGAGGAAAGTATGCGAGACTTTCTGGGAACAGTAATCTGATCTCAGCATTGATGAGTGAGTGTCATATAGCAGTGATTTTCAACCTTTTCTTCATCATGGACCCCTTTTAAATATCTTTTGTGGCCACGGATCACAGCCACAGACTCCCAAGATTTAAATCATAACATTTCTTCAAGCCTTCATGGACCCCTTGTGATGACATCTTGGTCTCCCCAGGGTTCGGCAGACCACAGGTTGGGAACCACTGTCATATATTGAAGTATATTTACTTAGAATTGCCTTCTGCTGTGTTCAAAAGGTTGACCTCAGAGGTAATTACAAAGAAGTTTGCAGAATTAATTTCCTAGTTATTTATTGTACTTCAAAGGTGCACTGTGATGTATTGGTGCTTACCTGTCTCACCAGCATGAAAGAAATATGGCAACTTAATTCCTTTAGTTTCTGGCAAACGTAAAGCTTTTCTCAGTTCCCAGAGAGAGTATCCACCATCTTCCCACCCAACCTGAAAAAGAGCATTGCTCTGGATCAGCATTCAGTACTTCAACATTATTAATATATCAATAACTGTCATTTAAAAAAACCCAAACATATCTACTCTATTAATACTGATAGTCTTCAACTTATGACCACAATTGAGCTCAGAATCTATGTTGCTGAGAAATATGTTAAGTAAGTTTTGCCCCATTCTACAACATTTCTTGCCACATTTGTTAAGTGAATCATTGCACTTGTTAAAACAGTAACACGGTTAAGGGAAGCTGGCTTCCCCATTGACTTTGCTTATCTGAAGATCACAAAAGACGATCACATGACTCTGGGACACCGCAACCATCGTAAATAGGAACCAGCTGTCAAGCATCCAAATGTAAATCATGTGACCATGGGGATGTTGCAATAGTCATAAGTGTGAAAAACAGTCATAAGTCACTTTATTCAGTGCTGTTGTAACTTCAGTCACTAAATGAACTGTTGTAAGTCAAGGACTAGTATGGCACCAGCTGCAAACAGCAATGGCCCATAACAATCTACTGGATGACTGCAAGTTCAAAAAGCCCATCTTTTCTTTCTGTTCTTTCACTGGGTCCAACTGCCTGCCTGCCTGCCATGTCCCCAGTTTCCCAGTTTGTGTTTCATACTAATCAGCCAGCATTAGCACACTGGCAAAGCAGAGGTCAAGTGGCTTTGTTTTATACTATCTTGGGAAAGGCCTGCAAATGAAATGAACTGTGAGGCAGTGGTTTCCAACCCAACAGTAAGGAGTAATTAAGGAAATTCTATAGTTCAGTTTCTCACCTGATCATCACAGGCAATGTACACAAGGATTGCAATACAGATATCCTGAAATTATGGCTACAATTGAGCTCAGGATTTTGATTTGTAAATCATTGTGGCTGTAAGCCAAGTTACCACACACCTGGCCTCAATTTCAAGACCATTTTTAATGGTGTTTCTTAAGCGAGCTACTGTGATTAAGTGAATCAGAGTTGTAACTCCAAATCCAGCTTATCCAATGGATACTTTTTGCCTGAAAATGGCAAAAAAGTTACCAAAAAGTGATCATGTGACCACAAACTGCTGCCACCAGTCATAAATGCAAGTTGGTTGCTGACCATCCAAAATGTATCACGTGACTGTGGATTTGGTGGTGTAGCAGTCATGACTTTGAGGACAAGTTGTAACTTTTTTCGAGTCTATTTTAACTTTGAACAGTCATTAAACAACCAGTCATAAGTCAAGGATTATCTGTATATCTATAATCTGCCCCAGGAGTAAGTCTAAGGTTCAACTATATGGGTGTTTCCTTTATAAGATAATGAGGTGTAATAGTATGTGGGAATGACCTTGGCAGACAGGAGGGAAAGCTGCAGAGTAGACAACCACCATGTTCAAGATGTCTCAGAGCATGGAAGAGGGGGATGGCACTGGAAATTAGGGACCTTCCCTAGTTTTCTAGAGAGTACAGGTAGTCCTTGATTTATACTACAATTGAGCCCATTTTTTTTCGTTACTAAGCAAGGCAATTGATAAGTTTTGTCATTGCTTGTTGGAAGCCAACTGGGAAGGTCCTGAATGGCGATTACACGACCCTGGAATAGCGCAACTGTCATAAATACATGCCAATTGCCAAGCACCTGACTTTTGATCATGTGACCACAGAGAGGCTGCAACGGTTGTAAGTGTGAAAAATGGTCAGTGCCATTGTAACTTTGGTCACTAAACAAGTGGTTGTAAGTTAAGGACTATATGTAAAAGGGAAGAAGGGGAGAAATACTTTCAGTCTTGCAAGGGTCTGTTAATGTAATCTAACAATAAAGAAAAAGTTGATTTCCTGGTTGAGCTTCTGGTCTGGGCTTCAGTGCAAGGCTAAGGTAGTCATGGGATGCAGCTTAAATACTTTAGCTCCCCATTAATTCATCCCCTTGCAATCCTTCTATAATAAAACGTAAAACCCATGAGGAATATCAGGAATTACCAAATCAAACCCTGCCACAGTATCTGGGAACTTAGTCCTGAGTTCTATGGCGGTAAGAATGGCTTCTTTGATCTGGGAAAGACTTTGCTTTCTGAAAGGCAAAAGCAGGAGAAAGTATCAAGGAAAAAAATGGTTGTGAATGCTGTTGCTTTGATTTAAAAGTGCCGAGCAAATATTTGGCTAAACTTATATGATGCCTGAAAAACAGAATAAATACCTATCCAGTTCACCAACAACAGGGAGAAAGAAGTCATGAGACTAAGGCTTTTTATTTATTTAGTTACGTTTACAGGGATAATACACATGGATAATTCCATCTGCAGGAATACTTGTATATTAATGCATTCACCCCAGGAGTGGTCTAACTTAGGAGTCTCCAAACCTGGCAATTTTAAGACTTGTAGACTTCAACACCCAGAATTTCTCAGCCAGAAAACTCCCTTACGAGCTAAGATGTGACTGTATATTTAATCAGGCTCCCCTTGTAATTAGAAGTTTGGAACAAAATACTTTAACTCACATCAGCCTTCTCAATCAATCATCAGCCCCTGCCATGAGTTAGACCAGGCTTGTCCAACCCGCGGCCCAGGGGCCGCATGCGGCCCAGGTCGCCTCGTAATGCGGCCCAGTGCCCACCCCAACCATCGTGCCACAGCCAGCGAGAAGGAGGAGGAGAGGCAGGCGCGAGGCGGGGCGAGGCGAGCGCCAGGCCAAGCAGCAAGAAAAAAGGCGGGTGCTGTCAGAGCACCACCTCCTGCTGTTGCCGCCGCCGGCACCGCTGCCGCTTCTGCCCCCGCCACTGCTGCTGCTTCTGCCCCCACCGCGGGGGCAGAAGCGGTGGCGGCGGGGGCAGAAGCAGCGGCGGCAGAAGCAGCAGCGGTGGTGGGGGAAGAAGCGCCGGCAGAGGCGGCGGCGGGGGCAGAAGCAGCAGCGGTGGCAGGGGAAGAAGCGGCGCGGCGGGGGCAGAAGCGGTGGCGGGGGCAGAAGCAGCGGCGGCAGGGGCAGAAGCGGTGGTGGCGGCGGGGGCAGAAGCGGTGGCGGGGGCAGAAGCAGCAGCGGTGG